CCCCCCCAACCCTTGGGGCCGTGGGGCGCGGCCGGCTGGAGGAGAGGACCACATTCCCTAGCTCAGGGCTGGGCCTCACCCTCACAGGCTGCTGAGGGCAGGCCCGATCTAGCCTCCAACAAGGGTGGAGAGAAGGGGGCCCCTCCACTCCCCTAGCCCAAGGAGACTACCCAACTTTACCAGCCGGTAGCAGTGAAGCTTTGGGCAGCCCCACCCCTCCCCAGACCCCACTTTCCCCAGACCCTGGGATGAGACTGGGCATGAGATGGCCCAGACATTTGGAGGCGGAGAGGCTTTGACTAGGCGGCCTTCTTGGATGACTGGCCTGAGACAAGGAAAGCCCTGGGGTGGGGCGCCCCGGGGCAGAATCTGATCTGAGCCTCTGCCATCCCTGCGCCATAAAGACCAGATGCCCAGCAATGGTGGGTCCAAGCCTCAGGGGCGCAGCCTGGCAGGAGCAGGGCTATAGGCAGAACCTTGCTCCCCTCCTGCCCCTTCCACCACATCCCAGGCCCCCAGGTCAGACACCTCAGACCCAGAGCCCAGCTCACACCTCTGTGCCCCCAGAATGCATGGTAGGCCTGGTTCAGCGCAGCTGGACCAGAGATCCTGGGAGCAGAAGGGTCTAGAGACCTGGGGGGGCTCTGCGGGTAAAAACCAACCCTATCGAAGTCAAACAGCGAAGGCTGGCTATTCTCAGTTCCTCCAACGCACAGTCAACTCCATGGCTTTTCCTGTGGGGCCAAATGCCCCCACCCACCTGTACGCCCATCTGCCTACAAAGCGAGTGTGGGTCACCGGGGACCCCATGGGGACTGCCCCCACCAGGCTGTGCCAAGCCCTGACCCTCAGGGACTTCCTGGGGACGACAAATGAGCATGAAAAGCCAACAAGAACTTCCCAGTGCTCCACGGGGCCCTCTCACTTACCCAGAAGTCCAAATTGTATTTGATATTCCGGAACAGGCCCCCCACCATTGCAGCAAGGTGGATGACATGTGTGGGCCGGACCTTTTCAAACAGGGCTCGGGTCTGTGCAGCATCCCTGGGAGGAGCCGGGGAAGGAACTAGCACCCTGGGGGTGGGGTAACGGGGGCAGGAGTAGACAGGGCTGATGGCAGGAAAGGCTGCCACAAAGGAAAGTGGCCCGTGCAGGCGCTGGCTGGTATGAGGGTGTGGACCTCCAGAAGAGATAGCAGGATGTTTGCCTAGGAACAGAGCTGCACACACCCAAGCCAGGCCAGACACCTGGCGGGGAGGACCCAGACCGGAGGCTACCAGGCTCAGGGACAGGCCTGGCCTGGAGCTCTGGGTCTAGAGAGGGTGTGGGTGAGTGTGCTCCAGGGATGGGTCCACTTACGTGAGGTCAGCATCTTTGGAGGAGACGAACACCCAGTCCTCTCCAGGCAGCCCAGCTCCATCTGCTACCACCTCTTGGATGGCTCTGCCCACCAGCCCAGAGCCACCTGTCACTAGGATTCGCACTGACCCCCCAGGCTCACTCATGTTGGCTACACCTGTGGGGGCAAATGGCGGGAGGCATATGGAGCCCCACTCCCTGTAGATGTCCCTGCGTGGGGTCACTGCCCTTGGTTAGCACTGGGCCCCAGGGCAACTGTCCAAAGGCTAGACCGAGGTTTCCTGGGGCAACTGGGACAGGATGAGACCCGCAGGGGAGGAGAGAGAGCCTGCTGGGGACCACCCGAGTCTCCCCCTCCCCGCCCCATTCCCTAGGAAGCCTTCTGCCTAGAAGCTCACAGGCCATAGACGAGGAAGAGGAGAGCCCGTGTTTGCAGTCCGGTGCCCGGTGGCAGCCAGCTGCTCCAGGAGAGCCTCTGCCAGCCTAGTTCCTCCTAGGCAGGTGGCACTTCCGGCTCAGAACTGGACAAGCCTCGGGGCGCCACCACCCTCGAGAACCCTAGCCTAGGGGCTGGAAATCTGCTCCGGCCCCTACAGGACGGCTCTGACCCAGCTGCAGGGCCTGATGGCCAGCATCAACCGGAGGGCATACTACCGCGACATCGGCTGCTCCCGACCGCGCCTACAGTCCAGCGGCAGGTCGGTGGGGAAACACCACCGAGGCCGGGACTCCTCCCGCGCCCCGTTCCTCTCCCAGATCCCCGGGACACCTCCACGCCCTCGGAGTCCCCACACCCCTCAGGGTTCTGCGGCTGTCACGGCACATCGAGGGCCGGAGCCGCAGCTCGCCACGCCGGGTCCCCGCCGGGATCCTCGGCGCCGCCGCGCGGCGTCTCACCTGTGCACTGCCCCACCTGCCCGTCGCCCGAAGAGCGGCTTCCGGCAGCGGATTGAGCGTCCAGACGCGTGCAGGGGCCAGGTGGAAGGGGCGGAACCGGGAGGGACCCGGCGGGCACTCCCGCGGCACTCTGGGAAATGCAGTCCCGGGGGCGCCCCGGGCGCTGCCGGGAAGTGGAGTCCGGGAACGCGCAGCCGCCTGGGAAATGTGGTTCTCGGTGCTCCGCCTCCCCGAGGCCTCAGGGTACCGGACAGAGAGACCCCGTTTGCTCCGCCGGGGCGGGTGGGTGGTGGGAGAGCCGCGGAGGCCGCGTGTACGCGGAAACTCCGCAGCATCAGAAAGGGGGAGCGGCAGGCGCCCGGCCGCGGCTGCAGGACAGCGACCGGCCGCGGGCCGGCCTCGGGGGGTGAGGCGCGAGCTGCGGGGTCCGAAGGGCAGACCGCGACCGGCGCGCTGGCCGGCGCCGTCCTTTGAGCGCCGCGGGGACGGACGGGTCTCGGACCTCTGGGTATCGGGGTGAAAGGTCGCGTGGAGGCCCACGGGCCTTCTCTCTAAATGCAGATATTTAACAGCAACCGACCTTGCTAACACACTGGCAAACAGAATGTGCTGTGCCCTCCGACCTTGACAACATATTATTATGAAAATATATTCCATTTAAAAAACATCCATAAATTTGGGGGCGCTTGGGTGGCTCACTGGGTTAGGCTGGCTCAGGTCATGACCTTATTGTTCCCCGGTTGGAGGCCCACCTCCGGCTCTGCGCTGACAGCGGGGAACCTGCTCAGGATACTCGCGCGCGCGCGCTCTCTCTCTCTCTCTCTCTCTCTCTGCCCCTCCCCTGCTCCTCTCTGTCTCCCCCCTGCACGTGCTTTTTTTTCTGTCTCTCTCTCAAAATAAATAAACTTTAACAATAAACAAATTTTATATACCTAGAAGTCAAGAAACTATCAGAGACGGACGAATAATTAGCACAGCTGATGGGGCGCCTGGGTGGCCCAGTCCCTTGAGCTTGGACCCCAGCTCAGGTCACCATCTCGAGGATCACTCTGCTGTCAGCCTGTCAGTGCAGAGCCGGGAGCCCGTTTCAGATCCTCTGTCCCTCTCTCTGTCCCTCCCCCACTTGCGCTCTCCCAAAAATAAAAAAATTTAAAAAAAAAAAAAAAAAAACATACCGCACTTCCCACACTGCTGCATAGTCAGTCATCCTATATAATTTAGTTTTCTTGTCTGCATTTCACCAGTTACTAAGCCGGATGTTATAATCAAAATTTGTCACATAATTTGTATTCTTTTGACCATAATGCCCCATCAGACGGTCTTTCCTAAGTCTTTGTAGTTTTCTGGTTTTGTTTTTTTGTTCTTTAGTTTGCTTCGATTTGGAGAAACTGCTTTGCTGAGGCCATAGCAGCTGGAATTGACAAGAAAAATCCATAAAGCAGTACTTAGATTCAGAAATGGACCGTGGATTTTTACAGATCACATTCCCATACTCTAAGAGGGTTGCATATGGTAATGTATTGGTATTGCAGAAAATGCTAGCAAATGCTTTAATTCAGATTTAAAATCGTCCCCCGCTACGGAGTGTCATTTACTATCACAGCAGTGCAGTATTTCGTAAGCTCTTTCACATTTTCTAATGCTGGAATATTATAAAGAAGACAAAAAATAGCAAACGACATCCAATTTACAATTCTTTTAAAAAAAAATTTAATGTTTATTCATCGTTGAGACAGACAGAGACAGAGTGTGAGCGGCCGGGGGGTAGAGAGAGAAGGAAACGGAATCCGAAGCAGGCTCCAGGCTCTGAGCTGCCAGCACAGAGCCCGATGCAGGGGCTTGAACTCCTGAACTGTGAGATCGTGACCTGAGCTGAAATTGGACGCTCAACTGACTGAGCCTCCCAGGGCACCCCTATTTACAACTCTTCTTGGTAGTATAGTTTCATCTGTAACAATCAGAAAATCATTTCTACTAAAATTACATTTGGGCTTATTTTTGTGAGAATGTTCTCCTTCGTGGTCATGCAAACATTTTTGTTTCTCGTTGTTTCCATCTCACATATTTATCGGAATGTAACTCTTGTGTGTTTCATGTTCTGTTTCTGTCGGTTTAGAAAAACACTTTCTCTAAAAGTAAACAATCCATTTTAAAATTCCGTTTGAAAGTGGAATTATCAACCTTAGCTCTCTTTAGGGTTCTGTCAGCTTTACAAATATCAGAAACAACCAGTAACAGTTCGTATCAAATCGCTGAGGCAGCACAAATTCAAAACTGATCTTCTTTTCTAGGAAAGACAGTCGGTTCTTGTGAGCACCTTTTGTGTGCCTTCTCTCTTAGAGCTTCCACATCTGTTCAACGCCAAACCTAATTCCTTTAGTGTTTAGCCCCAGATCCCAGGATGTGTCTTAGGCAGGGAGAGATTCAAGGTCAAAATCGATCCATATTTCATCAAGGTGTTCTATCTCTGGGCCAAATCAAAAAACACCCCGATTTTGAGTTATTTTAAGGAGTATTAACAGCACGACTGAGGCCACACCTCAAGCACAGATAAACCAATGCTCCAAAGATGACACAGTAATACACCTAGTTTTCCAGCCTAAGTTCTGGCTGGTTCACCTTTTTCTCTACTAACCATTTTAGTTCCATTTTCTTAGGTTTGCCTTCAACAATCTTTTAAATCCGTGCATATGATTCAAGGTTTTTTATTTTTATTTTTAATTTTTTTAACATTTATTTTTGAGAAACAGAGAGAGAGCATGAGTGGGGGAAGAACAGAGAGAAAGGGAGATAGAGACTCTGAAGCAGGCTCCAGGCTCTGAGCTGTCAGCACAGAGTCCAACGTGGGGCTCGAACCCGTGAACCCTGAGATCAGGACCTGAGCCGAAGTCAGATGTTTGACTGAGCCCCAGGTGCCCCCAAATTCAAGGTTTAAAAAAAAAAAAAAAAAGCTTTTCACTTAAGTCAAAACCTGAGCCACTTCAAAATGAGTAAAATCAGTGAAATACTTATCAAGTTTTCATTTTCATTTTTGGAAGTTCATTATTATAGATAATACACATTGGTTGTTGGGGTGTCTGGGTGGCTCAGTTGGTTAAGTGTCAGACTCTTGATTTCAGCTCAGGTCATGATCTTACAGTTTGTGAGTTCGAGTCCCGAGTTGGGCTCTATGCTGACAGCATGGAGACTGCTTGGATTCTCTCTCTCCCTCTCTCTCTGCCCCTCCCCTGCTTGCTGTCTCTCTCTCTCTCTCTCAAAAATAAAAAAATAAAAAAATAAAAATTTGAAGAGCAGGATATCTGTGGGTTGTACAGGGGAAGTTGAATGGTGGAGGCACTTAGGTAAGAAAAAATGTAAACTAGGGAGTCAGATCTTTCTTGCTTTCCTTCCTGTTCCAATCTGGGATTTTAAGAGTACCCAGAAATTAATGCAGGATTTGCAATAGTGGCTGAGGAATATTTTGCAACATCAATTCATATTTGTCTTAAATCTACATATATGTACGCATAGATGAAACACGCATTTGACTTAAGGAAAGGACTGGGAACAAGCAAAATACAGTTTTAGGGATTGATTTAAAAAATTATTGGGGGCAAGTAGATACCACTGGCACCGATATGGTTGGAGAAAATAAAAGTGAACAAGCCAGAAATTTTGGCCAAAAAAGCAGGAGCATTTTTTGTGCGACATGTCATGTCACAGGGAGACCTGACTTTAACTGTACTGATCATGATGACATTCTCTAGATCAAACACAGTATTTTCTGGATCTGCCCAAAGCTGAAACGTCTTGGAAAACCACATCACATTTGACCTTGTCATCAGCCTTGGACATGTGATAGGAATGCTGACTATGGGCTTCACGTATATTTAATTTAGATACTGGAAGGCTGAAGACCTAAGCAAGACAGCGGAAGGTTCCCAAAGAGCAAATCATGGTCCCAAGTGGCAAACAGAGTTACTTTTTTTTTTAACTTTTTTTTAATGTTTATTTATTTCTGAGACAGAGCATGAGCAGGGGAGGGGCAGAGACAGAGGGAGACACAGAATCAGAAGCAGGCTCCAGGCTCTGAGCTGTCAGCACAGAGCCCCACACGGGGCTTGAACTCGGGAACGGTGAGATCATGGCCGAGGCCGAAGTCAGACGCCCGAACAACTGAGCCACCCAGGCACCCCAATCTTATCCATGTTTTAAGAGAGGCAGTCCTGTCTCCACTCAGGCATCTGTAAGAGCCCTTGTCCTCCAGGAAGCTTTCCTTGCCTTGCTGAGGGGGCCCAGGGGCACAGCCCCTTTTCAAACTTCTGATTGTTACAATTCCCTGTGAGTCCTCTGCTCCCTGCATCTCACCCCTTGTGAATATCGTCCTTCCTCAACTTCCTTCAGATTTTCTTTTGCTTCCAAAACCTTGCTCTGGCTGGTCATCACAACCCAGACGTGGGCTTAGGGTCCACCTTGCAATGCAGGGAGGGGCAGCTGCCAGCCGCTAAGCAGAGGGTGGGTCTCTGAGGCAGCGTGACTGGTCCCCTTCCATGGCGTTTCTCATCTGCCACTAAGTTCTCATGGCAACAAGGGCTCTGCAGCCAGACTCCAGCATCAGAGAGCTAGTCTGGGGGGTGGGGGGTGGGGGGGAGACGGGCAACAGGAATTAACTCCCGCAGGAGGCTGTTGAGCAGAGGCGGGTGGCCCTCCCACAGTGCTAACCCCCCAGGCATCCTCATGGTGTCCTTCCTGGGAGCCGGGCCTGTAAGAGAAGCCATGCAACCCCTGCAAGGTTTTGGATGGAATTGAGATTAAGCATATGCTGTTTCTTGGGCGCCTGTGCTGGGTGAAGGTGGCATTTCTGGAGGCCTCAGCCAGGACAGCCCCCACTGCCCCTGCAGATCCAGGAAAGGCTCTACTCCCAGCCAGCCTCCCTCTCCTCTGCGGGGAGCCCAGGGTCCCACTGACCAGCCCTGCTTCACGGGTCCCCCAGGCCTGTGCTGAAGGTTGGGAGAGGTCTGGCTCTGCTCTGACCCCTTAGCTTCAACATTATCCTATTTCTAAGTCTCTTTGAATTCTTTCGAAGTCA